TATAAAAAAATTAGTATTAAACTTATAAATGATTTATTAGTAAAAAGAACTGCTTTGAGGAGCCTGTACAAATTTTCTTGTTTTTTTTTTTATTTTAATCATTTTACCCCAAGAAAATCAATAATCCCACTAAGACACAAAGGGTTACTGGGAGTGAAAGAAAATAACATATTAGTGAAGAGAGGGGACAATAAAAGAAACAGAAAGAAAAGAACAGGCTACAAGAAGACGGAAGATGGTGATTGATGTTGTATTCAAATCTTGAAGCAAGAAACTGAAAGAGAATTCCACAGGCAAGTGTGAGAAAAACTATTAGAATAGAACGTACGGTCGCAGCTTGCTATTTCAACAGTAAAACAGTGAGACCTAGTTGCTAATCTAGTAGTATGATTAAATTTATGCAGTCAAGGTACCAAGGAGGAAAGCTCATCAGAACATTTGCCATGAAAATATTTCTAAAAATGGCAGGGAAGCCACATCACATTGGTGGGATAGTGCCTGAAGTTGAGATGTCAGGACCAATGACATGACAGATCTTTCTTTGGATTTTGTCAAGAATCTCAAGATATATAGCAGGATCACCTGATCAGATTTGGTAGCAATATTCAATGCCTGGATAAATGGTAAATTTTTAAATGTGCAAGATGGATTTGTTAGAGAAATATTGTTTGGCAAGACACAGTGAACCAACTTTCCTAGCAGTAAAACTGGCAATTGATTCAATATAATTATTCCACTTTATGTCAGCAAAAAATGTGAGCCCAAGAAGGCACAAAAAATTATGGAGGTTAAAATCAGCCATGCTGATGGAAGGCAAAAAAGGTTCTTTATGGTGATTAAATGATAGCAGTTTTCTTTTGGAGGTGTTAAAATTTACAAGCCATTCCTTGGCCCAATTAACCACTGATTGGAGGTCATTTTCAAGAGCAAGATATTATTTATGAAGATAGCAGCATAGTAAAATAAAATGTTAAAATATATGCTAATTTAACAATTTGTGCATGTTTATAAATAACATAAACTGTTATTCCTGTACTTCCAAAGGAGTAATGAATATTTAGAATACTTTCATTTATTCTCATTTCCAAGATGATCAGTGAGTAATTAAAATACAAGTCCATAATAATTCTAATTTTAAATATTCTCCATTAATACAAAACCAATTCCCTAATAACATTCACCTGAGTCACTTGTCTAATGAGGTCCTCCATTCATGCAACCATCTTATCAATATGTCCTTTAAATAACATTAATATACTCTCAGGCACTAATCTACTTGATTAAAATAATGCAAAGCCTCTACTTGATAAGTGACTGGTTCATCTGCATATCTGAAATAAGTGCTTAAATATACTATATAAAATCTTGAAATACCAATCCAAATAATGTACCCTTATAAAAAAAAAATATCATATAATACATTATATCCTGTTATCTTGATCAAATAGCTTGATTTTTAATGAGGCATGCACATAAATAACCTAAGCACAGTTGTAACCTACTATCATAGTATATAGCACATCAAAACATACAAAGTGAATAGTAAACTGGGCTAACAAAAAAGAGAATATATAAGCAAATGATGAGCACGAAAAGGCAAGACACTGAAAAATAAGAAATATTCTCTATCATATCATCATTTGTATAGCAAAAATTCAACATAAATAATAAATAATTGGATAAATCTCTTTTTATATATATATATATATATATATATATATATATATATATATATATATTTTTTAAACAATAAAAATATTAAAAATTAAAATCTTCAGACACACTGGTTTGTAGATTAATATTCTTTCGTATTTTTATTATTGTTTCATTTAGATTCCTAGATATATATATATATATAAAATATGCAATAACATATATATATATATACATATATATAAAATATGCAATAATATATATATATATATATAATATGCAACTAATATATATATATATAATATGCAACTAATATATATATATATGCAATATATATATATATATATACTAATATATATATATAATATGCAATATATATAATATGCAACTAATATATATATATGCAAAATATATATAATATATATATATATATATATATATATATAATATACTAATATATATATATATATATATATATATATATAATATGCTATAATATATATATATATATATATATATATATAACTAATATATATATATATATATATATATATTAACTAAATATATATATATATATATATATAATATGCAACTAATATATATATATATATATATATATATAATATATATATATATATATATATATATAATATATATATATATATATATATATATAATACAACTAATATATATATATATATAATATACAACTAATATATATATATATATATATATATATATAATATGCAACTAATATATATATATATATATATAATATGCAACTAATATATATATATATATATATAATATGCAACTAATATATATATATATATATATATATTATGCAACTAATATATATATATATATATATATATATATATTATATATATATATATATAAAATATGCAACTATATATATATATACTAGCAGTAGAGCCTTTTTTTGGGGATATAACAGTAAGAGATAGATCAAGTATCCACCATCAAAGAGTGAAAAATAAAATTGACAAAGATTATTGTTTAAGGTTGACGGACATGCATGTCCTAATTAGTTTTTTTTTTTTTAACAAATTGGTCAAACCAAACTCAAACAAAACCATTGTTTTCAATGGTTATAGATCTCCCATTGAATAGCATAATTTTATAAACAATTGTCTTGTAAATGGAATTTTAAAGCATTCTGAATTTAAAAATAAAGAAAAAGTGTGCACGACAATAAGAAACGCTACATGCCAAAAAAAAAAAGTGAAGTTTTGTTGAAATGGTTGAAAAAATGTAGGTAGCCTTTCTGTAATCTTTTAGTTTTACAATTTATGATTTTTTTACTTATTGAATACAGTAAAAAAATTGCATATTTTTGCTTGTGGTGATTCATAATTAGAATTCTGATTTGAATATATTTTCACTCGTTTCTAATACAAAAATATTAACTTTATTTGGGTTTATTAATTATGATCTAACAAATCTTATTCATTTAGTAGCCTTTCTGTAATAATAATCTTTTACAATTTATGATTTTTACTTATTGAATACAGTAAAAAAATTGGACACCATGTGTATTTCAAGTAGTTTCCCATTCCGGTTATTATTTTTAGTTAGGACTTGTGTATGTTTAGATTTCATTATCGTTCCCTAAAGATAAAGAATTTATCTGATGTTTGTATTCGTACAATCAGTAGAGATCGTTAGATTATTGTTTAAGGTTGACGGACATGCATGTCTTAATTAGTTTTTATTTTTTTATTTTTATTTAATTGTCAAACCCAAACTCAAACAAAATATTGTTTTCAATCGTCATGAGTCTCCCAATTGAATAGAATTTTATTATAAATAATTGTCTTGTAAATGGAATTTTTAAAGCATTCTGAATGTTAAAAATAAAGAAAAAAGTGTGCAAGAGAATAAGAAACACTACCTGCCAAAAAAAAAAAAAAAAAAGTGAAGTTTTTTGTTTTATCGGCTGAAAGATGTAGGAAACCGATGTGAGTTGTCCCCCTTCCATTTTCACGATGTCTCTTAATCGTGTTTTCAAATTGATTTTGTGCAAAAACAATTATATTTTTCCCATTTTTGGCACTGTTAGAACCACCATAAGGTAATTTTATGTAGTCCTGTGAAGTTTTGCTGAAATCGGTTGAAAGATGTAGGAAATCCGATCCAATATATAAACGTTACAGACACACACACACAATCTGCGTTTTATAATAAGATATATATATATATATATATATATATAATATGCAAGTAATATATATATATATATATATAAATTTTTGCTTGAGGATGAAACAGGGCTTGTTACTTCAATTTAATTTTAATATTTATATTGAGGGTTTCAGCTCTCGTTCTTGAAACATGAGAACTCTTATGTAGTGAAGGAATCATTTTTTTGAAAAATAATTATTAAAAATAAATAAATATATATATATATATATATATACTTACATAATACATTTCAGATGCATCAAGGGTGGTCTTCAGTGATGCACTGTCCTAATCGCTGATTTCAGTTTTTGAACCATATCGGCTCAAACAGCAACCTCCAAACTGATTCCAGAAGGGTCAGGCTGCCTCCTTGATAGCATTGTGCTATGCATCTCAACATTGCAAAGAAAAATTCAGATATGGCTCGGAGTCTCACCGTTCTTATTGACATATGTCAGTCAACATCAGCCAATGAAATAAAGGCTTTTCACACTTCCCTGTTGTCTTTTTGCTCCATCCAGTTTTGATTTGAGCTATTTCCCCTGGAATCCATATTGAGGTAAGCTGGACTTGTTCTTGCATAGTTTAATCCAATGTTTCTACATTTTAAATATCAATCCCATAACTTGTTAACTAAATCTTACTTACTAATTATTACTATTTTAAAAAAAAAAAAAAAAAAATTATTCATTATTCTTACTATGATATAAATCTTTAAGTTCAAACTTATACTCTTAAATCAAACAAAATTAAAAACAAAACAAAAATAAAAATGTATGTATGTTCATCCCTCTACATATAAATGTAGTAAATGAGCTCACACATACATGCATGGACACACATAAATTCAAATTCTATCCCCCATTTACATTAATTTACTTTTACAAAACTGTTTATTGCAAACTCATACTATTTATTTGAAATTCCTTCTCAGTTTTGTGATCTATTGATTAAAATAATTCAATGGCCTAATCTAAGTATAAAAAAAAATATATAAACAACTAAAAAAATATGTTAACTACTCAATTAATTATTCACATTTAATATCTGCTAAATATTACTCAAAATGAATATAGCCAAGTAATCGCCACTCAACAATTTTCAAAACTGACTGCTACGATACTACTTTACATTCATAAAAATTAGAAATGAAAAAAGAAATGAAAAAAGAAATGAAAAAAGACAAGAAATGAAAAAAGAAATGAAAAAAGACAAGAAATGAAAAAAGATAAATGAAAAAAGATGAAAAAAAAATGAAGAAATGAAAAAAAATGAAAAAAAAATGAAGAAATGAAAAAAAATGAAAAAAAATGAAGAAATGAAAAAAAATGAAAAAAAAATGAAAAAAAAATGAAGAAATGAAAAAAGATGAAAAAAAAATGAAGAAATGAAAAAAGATGAAAAAAAAATGAAGAAATGAAAAAAGATGAAAAAAAAATGAAGAAATGAAAAAATAAAAAAAATGAAGAAATGAAAAAGATGAAAAAAAAAAAGAAATGAAAATGAAAAAAAAAATGAAAAAAAATGAAAAAAAAATGAAAAAATGAAAATGAAAAAAAAAATATGAAAAAGATGAAAAAAAATGAAAAAAATGAAAAAAAGATGAAAAAATGAAAAAGATGAAAAATGAAAAAAGATAAATGAAAAATATGAAAAAGATAAATGAAAAATATGAAAAAGATAAATGAAAAAAAAAAGATAAATGAAAAAAATATGAAAAAATAAATGAAAATATGATAAAAAAATATGAAAAAGATAAATGAAAAAATATGAAAAAAGATAAATGAAAAATATGAAAAGATAAATGAAAAAAATGAAAAAAAGATAAATGAAAAATATGAAAAAAGATAAATGAAAAAAATATGAAAAAAAGATAAATGAAAAAATATGAAAAAGATAAATGAAAAATATGAAAAAAGATAAATGAAAAATATGAAAAAGATAAATGAAAAATATGAAAAAGATAAATGAAAAAAATATGAAAAAAGATAAATGAAAAAAAAAATATGAAAAAGATAAATGAAAAAATATGAAAAAGATAAATGAAAAATATGAAAAAGATAAATGAAAAATATGAAAAAGATAAATGAAAAATATGAAAAAAGATAAATAAAAAAATATGAAAAAGATAAATGAAAAAATATGAAAAAGATAAATGAAAAAATATGAAAAAAGATAAATGAAAAAAATATGAAAAAGATAAATGAAAAATATGAAAAAAGATAAATGAAAAATATGAAAAAAGATAAATGAAAAAATATGAAAAAGATAAATGAAAAAATATGAAAAAGATAAATGAAAAATATGAAAAAAGATAAATGAAAAATATGAAAAAGATAAATGAAAAATATGAAAAAGATAAATGAAAAATATGAAAAAGATAAATGAAAAATATGAAAAAAGAAATGAAAAAATATGAAAAAAAAAGATAAATGAAAAAATATGAAAAAGATAAATGAAAAATATGAAAAAGATAAATGAAAAAAATATGAAAAAAGATAAATGAAAAATATGAAAAAAGATAAATGAAAAAAATATGAAAAAAGATAAATGAAAAAGAAATGAAAAAAGAAAAATGAAAAATGAAAAAGAAAATGAAAAATATGAAAAAGATAAATGAAAAAATATGAAAAAGATAAATGAAAAAAAATATGAAAAAGATAAATGAAAAAATATGAAAAAAGATAAATGAAAAAATATGAAAAAAGATAAATGAAAAAATATGAAAAAAGATAAATGAAAAAATATGAAAAAAGATAAATGAAAAAATATGAAAAAAGATAAATGAAAAAATATGAAAAAAGATAAATGAAAAAAATGAAAAAGATAAATGAAAAAAATAAATGAAAAAGATAAATGAAAAATATGAAAAAAAGATAAATGAAAAATATGAAAAAGATAAATGAAAAAAAATATGAAAAGATAAATGAAAAAAATATGAAAAAGATAAATGAAAAATATGAAAAAGATAAATGAAAAATATGAAAAAGATAAATGAAAAAATATGAAAAAAAGATAAATGAAAAATATGAAAAAGATAAATGAAAAAAATATGAAAAAGATAAATGAAAAAAATAAAAAAAGATAAATGAAAAAAATGAAAATATGAAAAAGATAAATGAAAAAATGAAAAAAAGATAAATGAAAAAATATGAAAAAGATAAATGAAAAAATGAAAAAAGATAAATGAAAAAAATAAAAAAAAGATAAATGAAAAAATATGAAAAAGATAAATGAAAAATATGAAAAAGATAAATGAAAAAATATGAAAAAAGATAAATGAAAAAAAAAATATGAAAAAAATAAATGAAAAAAATGAAAAAGATAAATGAAAAAAATAAATGAAAAAAAAAAGAAAAAGATAAATGAAAAAGATAAATGAAAAAGATAAATGAAAAAAATAAATGAAAAAGATAAATGAAAAAAATAAATGAAAAAGATAAATGAAAAAATAAATGAAAAAATAAAAAAAAATGAAAAGATAAATGAAAAAAAAGATGAAAAAAGATAAAATGAAAAAGATGAAAAGATAAATGAAAAAGATGAAAAAGATAAATGAAAAAGATGAAAAAGATAAATGAAAAAAAAAGATGAAAAAGATAAATGAAAAAAGATGAAAAAGATAAATGAAAAAAGATGAAAAAGATAAATGAAAAAAGATGAAAAAGATAAATGAAAAAAGATGAAAAAGATAAATGAAAAAAGATGAAAAAGATAAATGAAAAAAGATGAAAAAGATAAATGAAAAAAGATGAAAAAGATAAATGAAAAAAGATTAAAAAAGATAAATGAAAAAAAAATGAAAAGATAAATGAAAAAAAAAAAAGATAAGAAATGAAAAAGATGAAAAAGATAAATGAAAAAAGATGAAAAAGATAAGAAATGAAAAAAGATGAAAAAGATAAGAAATGAAAAAAGATGAAAAAGATAAGAAATGAAAAAAGATGAAAAAGATAAGAAATGAAAAAGATGAAAAAAGATAAGAAATGAAAAAAGATGAAAAAAGATAAATGAAAAAGATGAAAAAGATAAGAAATGAAAAAGATGAAAAAAGATGAAAAAGGATAAGAAATGAAAAAAGATAAGAAATGAAAAAAAGATAAGAAATTAAAAAAGATAAATGAAAAAAAAAAAAATAATGAAAAAAAATAAAATGAAAAATTTCCATCCATTGACCTCCCCACCCACATGTGCCAACACTTCTCAACCCCCATCCATAACAGTTGAACTACCTTGAATTACTATTGTCTCAATATTCCCTTATACCTTGAAAGCTCTCTCCTCTCCTAAGTATGTTTGTGAGTTTTTTTTTTCCACTTTTGATTTTTTTTCCCTAGTTCATAGAAATGACACTGATCTTTTAAGCCAAATCCACTTGAAAACAGTTAAAACTGCATTGGTAATGTCCTTCAGGGTTCTCGCTCTTGCTGTGCCCCCTATTCCTATTTTTGCTAAGGCTCTTCACAATGACTGTCCTGCAAAGCCCCTGCAACCAACTTCTACTGGCTCATAATATATTCTCTATGACTTTCACCAACATTGTTTGACAAGTTCTTGGCATCTGGACCACTTTCCGTCATTTGCCAGTGTAATAAATTCCTCTCATTACACAGACAGTTCCCAAATAATGTACTGCTTCATGTTGTCAGAGTGCAATATCATATCTGGTCCGAGTGATGTTACAGCTATATGTCTGGAGAATTTCAGCTGGGTCTCTAAGTCCACTATCAACTGCCAATCATCTGTGGAAGTTAACAGGCTTTTTTTCTTTCTCTCTTTCTCTCTCTCTCTTTCTCTCTCTCTTCTGTTTCTGTATCTTTACTCCAGCTTTGATGAAGTTAACTCAACTTCTTTCATGGTTGATGCTTATTAGCCCTTATAGCTTTAGTCACCTTGTTTACAATTACTTTAAGGGCTTGGTTGTGGTGCCAACAGTACCAACCATCACCCAAAGTTTTTGGGCAACTACTCTGAATGTGTTGTAATGATCCTTTCCTTGCACATAGTTGGCAATTGGGGGTATTGCTCTTCCCCCATATATGCAAGTTAGTTGGGCCCAGTAGGACATCATATACTGATTTGATAAGAAATCAAACCTTGCTAAAAATCCTTTTCTGTTTAACATTCTCCCATTTGTCCAGGCTCGCTGCTGACTTAGACCGACCATTGTATAGTATCGTGCTTCTTCTATGCCCACACAGACTTCATCTAATATGAGTTGGCTCCTTTCTTTGCCAATGTTGGTTTGTGGCTGGGGAAAAACCCCAACCCCACTTTGCCTTTAGCTACTGACCCTAGTATAGCTTTATGCCAAAATCTCCTCCACCACTTGCAACACTCCTTCAGTGCTCCATTTCCTACCAGATTTTGTCTGAATTCCAGCTGCTGCCACTTTTGGATCTTTGAACTCTTCCACAAGGCTACTAAAGGGGAGGTGTAATGTTACCATAGATGGATGCACCACTTAAGTATCTCAGCAAACCCAACCACCTTCTCAATCAATTACTAATTGCTCTAACGTTTCCACGGTAGTAATCAGAATATCATAGACGAGCAATGGCCACAATATTCGGGGTAATCCTGCATACTGAAAAAGCCATGCCTTGAAACATCCTGGCAATTTGTTGATCTTGATCAGTCACTCCTCAAGATCCTGTATAGTCTTTTGAATTCTTAAGACTACAGTTGAAAGTCTTGCCCAAGCTCTTCACAGGCTTTTCACTCAGGGTAGGAATTGTTGCTTTAGCAACTGAAAACTGGACTTTCTCCATAACCTTGCCCTTTTTCAATACTAGGGACCTAGATTTAGCTGGCTTGAAATTCATTCTGGCCCAAGTCATATTTTCTTTGAGACCCTTTAAAAGCCTTCTGTGACAGATTAAATCATCCATGTAAGCCCTTATTGTCCAGCAGACTCTTGTTTTAAACACAAGGCCTCAACATTCAACCTCTGCTGCCTTTACCAGCATGTTCATGGTCAATGAAAAGACATCAGACATTGTACAAACTGATTATACCCTTTTCTAGTATCTGCCATTCTGACACTGTTGTACCTGAATCTACTCTCAGCCGGAAATTCTCATAATAGTTTACTAGGAGATCGCACACTGATGGAGGTACATGATGTCTCTTTAGGACTTCTTCCACCAGTTTGTGTAGCATGGACCCATAGGCGTTGACGAGATCCAACCACAATACAATCAGGTCCCCTTTGCCTTCCTTAACCTCTTCCAGGAGCTGTGTCAGAACTCCTGTATGCTCAAGGTAACCTGACATCCTGGCAACCCTGCCTTTCTGGACCAATGTGTCAATGTAGCCATTTTTAAGAATGAAGTTGTCTTGACAATAACCCAAAAAAGATTTTACTTTCGGTGTTGAGCAAGGAGGTAATGTGAAAAATATATATATTTTAAACCACTAATGAAAACTCACACACAAAATATAGCTTTTGCATTATGATGTGATAAATTCAATCATTCTTAATGTCAGAAAGGATAAGCCTAACTATGACATCTAAAAGAAAATAAAGAAAAACTATACTTCAGTACCCTACAATCACCAAGCCAATCTAGTATTCAACTTCTGCAAAACATTTACTACTTAACCCAAATGTTTTTTAACCAAGAAAAAAAAAAAAAAAAGATTTCTCAATCTGTTATATCTAAGTAATTGAATTTATAAATAATAAATAAATGTAAGATACTATATATTTCATTTCACAAGGGATAAACAGGCCATAATTTATTCATATTAACTTTTCTGTGCCTGCAGGTTTTGATCTCTGGCCAAACAAACTGATAGGAATTTTAGAGAACATTTTTAACACTATTTTATATAATCTGTCAAATTTCCAAAAATGTGGCATCACAAATATATTGAAATAAAATGCTATTAAAGATCCAAAGAAAGCTTCATAAAATACAAGCAAAAATGATTATACTTAGAATAAAAAATCCATCTGTAGATAATAAAATATCTATAGAGGTACTTCAACAAGAACAGATGAAAGCATAATTTGAGTGAATTTTTCCAAAAAAAATGAATCAAAATATAATTGTTATTAAATTTCATGTAAAGATTATTAAAAATTATTTAAAAATTAAACCTTATAGAACTTTCATTTCAAGAATTTGTTTTAAGGGAAAATAGCACGAGAAAATTTGATTGTCAGGTTAGAATTAAGAAAAACATGTACTGTATCTGGACGACAAATTTGATTATTTTAAATGAATGATTATCATGTTTTGTTCTCAACATTTTTTTCAAGTTTAATCATTTTCTTAAAAATTCAAATGACGTTTTTTAATTCCAACCCACACTGTTTTTTTGTTTATCACAAAGGTTCTTTTACCAAGATAAAAGATTCCTTACAAGAAGAGATAGCTGACAATCTGTTAGAATCTAGTTCTTCAGTATGAAACATTGAATACTTGTTGGTATAGAGTGTATGTATGTGTATATATATTTTTATTATTGGTTTTTCTATATAAAAAGTCTTTTTTTCTTCTTTTTAGATCCATGTCCTCCTCTAATATTAAATTTGAAATTGTTATGTCTACTTATCTATAAGTCCTCAATATTATGCATCTTAGCATTGGAACTCTTACCATTCCTATGCCATAATAATTCAGAAAAATTAAGATCCAATATTTGAATAGTCATATGGATCATTCTTTAATATATCTATTTTCATGATTTTAGGATTTCTCTCTTTTTTTGTCCTATCTTTTAAAGTTACCTTTTGGTGTCAAAAATGAGGCACACAGAATAGCTATACTATTATTTCTCTGAATTCTTTGTGATTTCTAGCATGTTAAACAAAAACAAAGATTACTTTTTTCAGATGGTTGTCAATAACATGACAGCAGATTAACTAAAAATGTTTCAGACCCAAATCAAATACCATTATCAAAACATTCAAAAATTAGTGTTTGGATAAGAATATAAGATTATTGTGTAGCAGTTTTTTTTTTTTTTTTGTTTTTAACCAAAAGAGGAAAAGGAACAGATTCTGGTTTTCATGTTATAAAGAAAAACACAAATCTACTCACATAGAATAGCAAAGGAAGTAAAATGGTTATTTAAATTTTTGTGTATAAGAATTAATATCCAAAAAAGAAAAAATTAACTGGATATAAAAACTTGAGTATTTTTATAAGGTAAATACTTGCAAATTACCAACATCTAAAAGGCTTTTCTGAATCAACAATACTACAGAAAAAATATCACTCTACAAAATACAAAAAAAAGAAATCACATTTTTTTCCTTTGTATTATATACTGCAGAGTTCATAATTTGATAAGTAATCTTTAAAATAAAACAAATTTCACTATATATCAGTTGTATATTTACACTGAAACCTGAAAATTTTTTAATGCTGTATTATTAGCCACTAAATTATAATATACTTTTGACTAACCTATTCTCTCTTTTTAAGGTGACAGAGATGCCACAGAATAACCTAAGTAAAAGATTTTCAAAAACTTATTGGTAGCCATGGAATTTCAGATCAAACCTTTATTCAGCCTGTTCTCCATTCTTAGTGGACATTTCATATTAGTTAACATTCAACAGTTTTAGTCATTTTTGTGTCACTTATCCATTTCTTCTCATGAATCATAGTATTACTAGACCCAGGAATTCAAATTCACAACTGCCAGAGAATCTGATATATGTTAACTATGTGTCTCTTTGACAATCTAGTGTTCAAATCCTGAAGATTTAAACCAGACCTCTATAATGAAAAAACTCTACATCTGAAGACTAAAAGGGTTCAGTGCAAATTTCTAAGAAGTTTACCAAGTATAAAAACAGACATTTGATGAAGGTCAGAGAGTACAATGGCTGAAACATCGAGAATATAACAGTTAATATAAGCATGCTGGTCTGAAGAGCAAGGCATATAATGATAATTCCTCATTTAAAAAAATTCTGACAAAAAAATCTTTCCAATTATTTTATATTGCATAAAACAGAAAACTTATGAAATTGAATTATATTTGTCAAGATATTGATTGAAGGAAACACTACAAATAATATTTACTTTAAGCTTTTAAAAAGGTCAAAGCCAGATATATTCTATCTTAGTAAGGGTTAACAAGAGCAAAGTTGTACATCGACAAAATTAAAAAGCCAAATAAACTTCAACTTTACGGTTTTGTTAATTATAAT